ATTTGTGTATAGGCCCAATCTTTTGCAGACCGAGTTGGGCCCGAGAAATTATTGATTTTTCCTTTCGCCTTGCTAGAAAGCAATAGCGTTTATTCTATTACTATTCCTTTTCCAGAAAATGATTGCTTTTGCCTACTCTTTGCACCAACAAGTGCACGATGGAATTGATATTTATTATTAGCTTAAAAATTGTTATTTTGGGATAAAATTTAAGGTTTTTAAATTCTTAAAATATCAATTACCTAACTTCCAACTCACCCAAAAAAAAAAAAAAAAGGAACACCCATCTTTGAACTCTCCTTTTAATTTCTTTTTCATAACATTTTTTTTAAATGAGTTTCAAACCTCAAATTTTGAGTTAGAGGATGCACCTTTACAAGTCGAGTTAAAAGCACGTTGGGTCACAAGACGTGCACTTTTTTTTTTTTTTGACGGAAAAAATGGTTAAAAATTAAGTTAGTATTTACTCTTAATAAAATTAAAACACTGATCAAGATATAATTTACTGACAACACTATTGAACTGCAATAACTACTAATAAATTACAACGGGAGAATGCACAAGACGTGCACTCTTAAGAATCTATCTTCATGTGCACCAAAGCTATTCCCACAGACATCCTGTCTGCTCAGACCAAAAAGCATTATTTTGGTATTAGGTTTCCGTCCCGACCCGTCTATATAAATGTATTGCTTTTGTTATACCGGTTCTATGCTAGAATAAAAAAAATGTCCCCCACCCCTTAAAAGGTTGGTTCATTTCTCAATGAGAGAGATTTTTATTTTATAAAATTATATTAAATTGTAAAATAAAAATTAATAATTTTTAATAATGAAAATTTATTTATTATTTAATAATTTAAATTATATATTTTAATATAATTTAAATTATATAATATTTTTTTAAAGAATAATGAAGGCTATTTCCTACTACGAAAAGATGAAAACCACCAAAACGTCTTTTTAAAAAGAAAAAAAAAAAGTAATTTCGCTTTCTGCAAAGTAAAATTGCTGTAGCTGAAATGATTGGGAAACCAAATCCTACACGGAAATGGAGTCGACATGTTGAGTGGCACTGGCGATGGCAATAAAATTACCTGGAAGTCACTTTTGCCAGTTTCATTGGGCTTGATGGGCCCCAACTGTACTTGGACTCGGCCACTCAGTGAGTGACGACATTTCAGTGAATATAAATATATGATC